TTCAAAGCAGGACAGAACAGGATATTTAGCAAAAAACAACAAAAAGAAAGTAAGTTTATATGCCAAAACGTTTGGATAAATGTTCTCCGAGTTAAGAACTTCACTGATAATTAGGCTACATTACAATTAAATTGGGATTATGCTCTCGTTTCTAATTTGAAATCAGATTATTTTAAGAGCATTTGCTATTCTACTTTGGCTGTTTTAAATGTGCTAAAACTGAGAACAAATCTTAGACATAAAGAAGCTTTAATCCAACGTCAGGTACAGCTTAGTCTATTGTTGATTCAAAGAAAGAGGAAATATGTTCAGACAGGGAACCACACCTTGGTAGGGGGAGGAGCCTCAGGTTTTACTGGTCAGAGGAAGAAAGGTTTGCTCTATTTACAAACAGAGGAGAAGGATCTGGATCAGGGTTAGTGAAACCTTTATATTAGGGTTAAAACACCAAAATAATAAACCACAAAAGTAACTAGAAATAGGCCTAAAAAAACAGTAGATACTCCATTTTCATCTTCATTTTGTTCATGCAGCTATTTTCATTTTTGCTATTAAACCTGTATTTATGCAGGTTTAATAGCAGAGTCTCTGATGGTTTTTAATTTAAAAAAACATATTCTCATGAACAAAATGTGGGTAAAACTGATTTTCTATGTGTATCTTTCTGAGTACATCAACACTGTCCATTAGTAATCATTACCAACATGGAGCTTTTATACTAAAGCTGACCTGCTAAAAACGCACAAGACCAGATTTCAAAGCAGGACAGAACAGGACATTTAGCAAAACACCACAAATAAAGTGAGTTTATATGCCAAAACCTTTGGATAAATGTTCTCAGAGTAAAGTACTTCACTGATAATTAGGCTACATTACAATTAAACTGGGATTATGCTCTCGTTTCTAATTTGAAATCAGATTACCTTAAGAATATTTGGTATTTAACTTTTTGCTGTTTGAAATGTGCTAAAACTGAGAACAAATCTTCGACATAAAGAAGCTTCAATCCAACATCAGTGTTTTACAGCTTAGTCTATTGTTACTACAAAGGAGGAGGAAATGTGTTCAGACAGGGGACCACACCTTAGTACAGTAGGGGGTGGAGCCTCAGGTTTACCTGGTCAGATGAAGAAAGGTTAACTCTATTTACAGAAGAGAAGGATCTGGATCAGGGTGAGTGGAAACTTCTTTGCCTTTTATCTTTTTCTGGGTTTTCTGTCTGTGATCTGTGGAGGGATCCAGAACCAAACTCAGTCTGGTTCTCCTTCAGAGCCAAGCTGCTGCTTTTCCCTATGAGAATCAGATTTCCTGTTATAAAGCTGCAGTCTTTCTCTACTGTGTTTAACTGCTGCACTTTTTTATTGATCTACTATTTGTTCCTCATGATGTCAGAACCTCACATCCTGTCTTTAGATTAATAATTGAGCTGAATCATTAAAATGGTTTCGAGGATGAAGAACCTGAAGTATGAAGATTCTGATTCTTTGCAGCAGCAGTCGGATATTTCTGTACAATCTTTTCATCCACATTCATGTCCGCACTCTTCTTTGATCAAGGGCTCAGTTGACATTCCACAGCAACAGATATCATTGCAAACACAACCTGGAAATCTAACCTGTACGGCCCTGAG